TCCCCCTCCCCATTAATATTCTCTGCCATTCTTTATTTATCCAGACACTTTTGAGTCACAGGTGACCCTGCCAAGCAGTCCGTCTAGACGGAGAGTCATTCCCAAGCTATTCGGCTTTTCATTTCCTCTCTCCTGCAATTGGTGAAAACTACCCCCTTCCCCTTGACTAGGCCAGCTAGGTCTGCTTTACTTTCAGATCGCCACATGCGTACTTGAGCCAGGCTACATCTTATGGGTTACCCAGCAACAAGAACTTGGCCTGGAGTATGTGAGGTGAAGGCAGCCAAATTAGCGAGCAAAGTGGCCTAGATGGCAGAAAGCAGCACGTGGTCAGGGGAAGGGTCCTAACCAAACACACTGAGGTGTAGGGTTGCCAAATGTTTGATCTTCAGAAATCAGCAGGAGACTTTACAGAACAGAGATAAGAATACTACTCACCATACTGTGAGAAATGTCGGTTAGTAATTTGTGTAAATAAAATTTCAGTTAAAGGCACAGGAGCAGTACAGACTTCTTTCCTAACCAGGTGGCAACCAACTTACAAAAGAAAATCAACCTAGAGAATATGAGTTAGCTCAGCTAACTAATATACTTATTTATATTACTGACAATGTGTTGCTGTTTATTCACTGTAGAGTATAGAAAGTGCTGGATCTTGCCTCTCCTCTGAGAATCTCAGTCTGCAAGTCATACTTTATAGATTTTAAATTGCCTTCTGGTATATTGTTTTAAATGAAAGGTGGAGTAGAAATTTAAATAACAAGCAAACCAGCACTTTGGCCAATTGAAGTGTTATATTCAGATTACCCATGAATTAAAGAGCCACATTAAGCTTAATATATGAGAACATTCAACGGTTCTGCACAATAAATAAAACTGGACTTTAATGCCTTGAGCACAGCTGCCATGCAGAATAACATTTGGAAAGTTCAGAGTTTCTCCTTTTTTTACTGCAGAACAGAACAGTTCAGGGAGAAGTTGCACCTGTAGACGTTCCATTTCCTTCACACCATTCATGCTTACATGTGCAGGCGTGTGAGCAGCAAGCAAGCTACTATACTTGCATTTCCTGATGCTCAAAACCTGGTCCAGGAGCTGGTGTTCCCACTAAAAAAACTCCTGCCAGATTTGGGCAATAGCATCAGAAGGGGAGAAGGAGGGTCTGGTTCAAGTCTGCCCCACTGTCCTCCTCCTGGCCTCACACAGTCTCTTCTTCTGAAAATCATGCTTTTCATTTTCAGGAGGAGACATGCTCACACCAGCTCACTGATGCATGCTGCTCTTACGCACATGGGACAAAATCCAAAGGCTCTGTGTAGGCTTTCCATGTCTGTCCCCACATCCACCAGTGAAGCAGGAACTGGGAGGATGCTGTCAAACTGGACACAAATGAGCTTGGGGCGCCCCCTGCTGGTGACTGGCAGGCATTACGTTAACCAAACGGACCACTGGTGGCCTTTTGAGGCCACTCAAAGCTATAATAAGGCCAAAAGAGAATGAAAAAGTAACGCATAAACAGGGGACGTAATATTGGTGTGTGTGCGCAGTACCAGAGTCTTTTTCTTTTTATTAATATTTTATTTCATTTATAAAAAGATAGAGTGAGAAGGTAAAAAGTAATAAAAAGTGAGAATGAAAATAAAGGAAAAATACATTATTACTATACATTAGTATACAGATGTGTATATTCTTATTCAGATCTGTGGCCATAAAGCTCACCCATTCCCCAAACAATTTTGTTTTTATTCACTATCACACATTATGCTTCTCCTGAATGTACCTCTTTTAAATATTGACCCATGTATGTGTATATGGATATTCGCATCTGATGCTTGTTCACAATGATTTATGTATAATTTTTCTGTATCTTTTCTACTTCTTGAAGTATTTTTTAAAGTTACAGTAAAACCATTACCATCTATATTAGCATCATCAAGTTGAATCCAACATTTTATCCTATATGAAAGCACATTTTAAGAAAAAAATCAAGGAGAGATTATGGGAATTTGCATGGATGCAATAATAATAATAAAAAGCTTTGGAGGCAACTGGACAACACTGGATTTGAAGAGACCAGAAAGCCCGCACCCAGAGTAGATCACATTCTAGGGGTGCTGTGATATGGTTGCCAAACATAGGCACTACAAAAAACAGCAGAACAATTGGAAAATGTTGGCACTGGAATTAGAACTGTAAAAAATTGTACTTTTTTGTTTTTTAAAAATCTCAAAAACGACTTTAAAGAAACAACTCCATATTTGAAACTATTAACTTGCAAGTTCTGGTTCCCAAAGGGACAGAGATATGTCTTGACATGTTAAAATGAAATACCTGTGTTTGACTACTCAGAAGGCAATCCTGATAGGCTCTTTGGGGACTCTTCTACATATGTATGTTTTAAACTTATAAACTTACCATACAATAAAAAAATGGAAGGGGGTATTACCCAGAATGTGAACTTACAAGACAGATAGTTGTCTTGCTGTTTAGCAGTTGTGCAGAAGTCTGATACATGCATACATGCATTGAAAAACAAAGGGGAAGGAGGGCAAGTCTAGTAAGGCCCCACCCCATATTGAGAAAGGCAGTAACCCACTTTTTGGGGTGTAAAAAATGTGGGGGGTTCAGTACAATAAGGTTGAAAACAATAGCACAATTTTAGCATTAACTTGGAATGGTGACTTCACATATTCCTTGATGTGCTTTCTGCAAAACTTTTGCCAGACTTTGGCGGCGGTTTGGAGTGAATCAGACATCACTGGCTTTTGGGTCGACCCCATGACCCCCAGGTTTGAGGGTCTATTGCTGTGTTTGTGGGGCTTCAAAACACAGGGCTTTCGCTGCAAAACTTTTGCCAAACTTTGGTGCCAGTTTGAGGTGAATCAGACGACATTGGGGTTTTAGGTGTTAACTACAAACCCCCGTTTGATGTATCAATTTGTGGCGCGCTGCAAAACAGTTGCAAAACTTTAGCACCATTTTCAAGCGGATCCCAGATTTTGAGGTTCGCAGTCTTAAAGTGGTTACTAATAAATGTTATAAGATACAAAGTAACATTTTGCTTTTAAACAAGCTAGCAATGCGGTCCCATTTTCCTTAAGTCCTTAACTCACTTCAATACTTTCCTTGCTCTGCTCCCAGAGAGAGATCCTAAGCAACTTTCTTGTTCACCATCTCAGGTTTCAGCTTCCTGCTGCGAGAGATTGTAGCTCAGTTTCCAGGATGAGTCACCAATTAGCCTAAAGGCTGAAACAAACATCCAACCTCTTTTGCCTCATTTGCCAGAGTGAAACCAGCTGCACCAAATACAAACTTTTCTGCTTTGCATTTTAAATACAATGCATATAAACATTGCATTTTATGCGCATTAAATCTTACATCTTTAACATGGGGAAGGTTGTTGAGCCAGTGGTGGCTAGTCAGTTCAGATATGACTGGGGGGAAAGGAAAGGATTATGCTCCAGATTCAGAACTGAAAAAGCCTTGGCATGTTGGCCGATGACCTTTGAGTAACTCCTGCCTTTCCATGCCGTTTTGGGAAACCAACGCTGTGCAATCACCTTCTGAGAAGGCTGGCAGCTCAAGGCGGCATGCCTGGTTCTCTTCCCTCCCCGTTTATCCTCATAATAACCCTGTGAGGCAGGCTAGGCCAGGCATAGGCAAACTCGGACCTCCAGATGTTTTGGAACTACAATTCCCATCATCCCTGACCACTGGTCCTGTTAGATAGGGATCATGGGAGTTGTAGGCCAAAACATCTGGAGGGCAGAGCAGAGACATCACCTTGCCAACAAAGGTCCGTATAGTTAAAGCTCTGGTTTTCCCAGTAGTGATGTATGGAAGTGAGAGCTGGACCATCAAGAAGGCTGATCGCCGAAGAATTGATGCTTTTGAATTCTGGAGGAGACTCTTGAGAGTCCCATGGACTGCAAGAAGATCAAACCTCTCCATTCTGAAGGAAATCAGCCCTGAGTGCTCACTGGAAGGACAGATCCTGAAGCTGAGGCTCCAAGACTTTGGCCACCTCATGAGAAGAGAAGACTTCCTGGAAAAGACCCTGATGTTGCGAAAGATGGAGGGCGCAAGGAGAAGGGGAGGACAGAGGACCAGATGGTGGGACAGTGTTCTCAAAGCTACCAGCGTGAGTTTGACCAAACTGCGGGAGGAAGTGGAAGACAGGAGTGCCAGGCTGGTCTGGTCCGGGGGGTCACGAAGAGTCGGACACGACTAAACAACAACATGGGCTAAGCTGAGAGACTGCGACTTGCCCAAGCCAGCGAGATTCATGGCTGAGTTTGAACCCTGGTCTCGGGGGGTTAAAAACAAAACCCCAAATATGTGTGTGGGATTGAGTGGGGACCTTCACTGTCCCTTCAGGAGTGATTCCTGCCGGAGGCTGCGAGACTCAAGTTCGCCTTGTGCCATGTCTGCCACACGAATGGCAGTTTCTCCCTGCGAGTTTTGAGCCCCCTCTCCTGGCAGAACACGGCTTTTGTTGAAATTGGTTGCATGTTTTTAATAGAAAGGACCGATTAAAAACATACAGATTTCAGATTTAAATTCCACCGACGTTTACTTGTATTGTACTGTTGCTTTCTATGTTTTGAGCTGTTCTGAAGCCACCTCAGTGAGTCCCTGTTAGGGAAAAGGCGGGGTGTGAATAAATTCAAAATAAAAACTGGCAGGGAAGCCACAAGGGTCCAGTCGACGTCTACTTTTCCCTGGTGGGGGGGTATGTGTATGATTTTCAACCACAAAAACCACACCGAACAATGAGGGAACATACAACACGACGGAAACAACACCACAAACCCCCAGTGTTTGTGAGGTCCGGGTGTGGGGGGCATAAGGCGTTCCGGAGGGGCAAACCAATTTTCAGCTTCCCCCCCCCCCGCCGTCCTCAGCTTGGTACAGCTCAGAAAGTTCTGATTCCCCTGACGCGGCCGCGCGGCCGCCCCGCCCCCTCCCCTCTTCCCCCCGCCCTTGCTTCCAATCAGCTTCGAGGCTCCACGGCCTGCGGCGAATAGGAGCGGAGCGGAGGCGGCGCCTTGTGCTCGGCGGGAAAATGGCGGTGGCTGCTGCTGCTGCGCTTTTCCGGCGCTTGAAGGTATTCCGGGAGCGTCCTCGGGGCAGAGGCCTCGCCAAGCCGAGAGCGAGGCGGCGGCGGCGGCGGGCGGAGCCTCCCTCTTAAGTGCGGGGATGGGCCTCGCGGGACGCATTAAGACCCCCAGATCCAGATTAGTGTTTCTGCGAAGAGGCTGAGCAACGCCCAGTGACTGGCCCTCAGCGCAGGGGTCTTCCGTTATCGCAGAACTTGGAGACACAAATAAGCCGGCTGGCTGCAAAACGAGATGGTAACCGTCTCGTGAGCACAGGAGGACACGCGTAAGCCATGCCAGCAAAGGCCTCGAATGCGGACCTTGGGCTGAGGAATTTGGTGCTGAAGGATCCTGACATCTTCCTATGCAAGGTTGATGTCTGGGAACTTGTTTGATGCATTACTGTATTTTGTCAGACCGCCCCCAGAGGGTTCAGTTGGGCCCCTATACCTCTAATATGCTCAAGACTAACATAGGAACACCACAGGGATGCGTACTCAGTCCGCTCCTTTATATTCTCTACACGTACGATTGTGTCGCTACTCACCCTAGTAATAGGGTTGTCAAATTTGCAGATGACACAACCGTGATTGGGCTCATCTCTGAAAGGGAGGGTGAAACGGATTATAGAGATGAGGTGGAGCGGCTGACAGAGTGGTGCAGAGCTAACAACTTGCTCATAAATACAAGGAAGACAAAGGAGCTTGTGGTGGACTTCAGCAGACAGAAGAGCAACGTCCAGCCACTTTTGATTGATGGGGTCTGTGTGGAGAGGGTAACAACGTTCAGATTTTTGGGCATTGAATTACAAGAGGATCTGTCCTGGAGTGTCAACACAAGGGGGCTTGTGAAGAAGGCGCAGCAGAGACTGTACTTTTGAGAATACTAAGGAAAAACCATCTTCCGCAGAAACTGCTGCTTGCCTTCTATCACTGTGCCATTGAGAGCGTGCTCACTTATGGCTTATGTGTGTGGTACGGAAGCTGTACTACCCAGGACAGGATGGGGTTGTGCAGGGTTGTTAAGGCTGCAGAGAGCATTGTTGGCTGCCCACTCTCCACCTTAGAGCAGATTTATGCCACAAGGTGCCATAGGAAGGCACTGGACATAGTAAAAGATCCATCGCATCCTGGTCACTGTCTCTTTGAGCTCTTGCCGTCGGGACGGAGATACAGGACGATGAAGACAAGAACGAGCCGTCTTAAGAACAGCTTCTTCTCCAGAGCGATCTCGGCCCTGAATGGGAAGCCCGGACTTTGAAAGTCATCTAATCTCCCTTGCTGTATTATACTGTATTGATTAATTAGTGTTTTTATGGAGCAGTCAAGTAATTTCGTTGTCCCCGAAGGGGGCAATGACAATAAAGATAATATTATTATTATTATTAATAATATTTGGTTGGAAGCCGCCCAGAGTGGCTGGGGAAGCCCAGCCAGATGGGTGGGGTATAAAAAATAAATTATTAGTAGTAGTATTATTAGTATTTCTGCAAAGTGGGTGAGCAATGCCCAGTGATACTGGCTGAGCAGGACTGGCCCTGAGCGCAGGTGTCTTCGGTTCTGTTGGGCTCTGGCTTACCGCATAACTGGAGACACAAATAAGCCGACTGGCTGCAAAAGGAGATTGTAACCATCTCGTGAGCACAGGAGGACACGTGTAAGCCATGCCAGCAAAGGCCTTGAATGCAGACCTTGGGCAGAGGAATTTGGTGCTGAAGGATCCTGACATCTTCCCACCTTTTATGCAAGGTTGATGTCTGGGAATTTGATTCTGGCAAACAAGACCTCCTGTCTGCTATGCTTGGTTGATACAAGACTGACTTTGGTAACATGCACGAGATTCTTTGAACGCTTGCAATCCTGTATGTTTCCTGAGTATTATCACTTGGAGTTTAAAATCGTTTCTTTCTTCAGTGAGTGCATATGAAGGTGGGGAAATGAGCACTGCACGGCTGAAAGAGACTTGTAGGGTGTTGCAGAATGTGAGTGGAGTGTACCTGTCCCTGTTTGCCCTCTTACAGGAACTGGGCTGCCCTGCACTAGATGGTGTCTACCTGTCAGAGGCTAAAGACATACAGAAGTTGCTATGCGCTCCCTCCCCGCATCGCCTGGACATACTGGAATGGATTTGCGGCAGGTGACGGCCATCACCGTTCGATCCTTATTCCTTTAGTATTTGCCACTCTCTTCCTACTTTTAGACCAGTGATTCTCAAACATTTTCTCTGGGCCACACTTTCAGAATAAAAATTTGCTTACACCACACTGAATTTGTTATTGATAAGAAATGCATTGGCAAACAAAAAGAAACAACTCCTAGCACTAGTTGATTTATATTATAGAACACAACTACTTTATTATATGACCATAGGCCGTTCAGAAAATATAAAACAATTATTTTGATTCTATACTACACTGAAATATTTAAATGTTTCTTTGATTGTCCTTGAACCTACCTGTCACACTTTGCATCCTCTCCTGCCACACCCTATGAGAAGCATTGTGCTAGGACAGCTTCCCTGAGCAATGCTTGGCTCCTAATGGGAATCTGTAGCTTGAAGCAAACAAAGCTTTTGTTCTTCATTTACTTATCTAAGACCACTTTTGCAGCTAGGCCAAAGTCCAAGGTCTGACAGCCCAGCACCCCCAAAATGACTACACAGAGAGCAGCAGTTAGCGAGGGCAGCCCTGAACAGGCTTGGCATCGGCTGGGCTCACTGGGGCTGATGACTAGTCAGCCATTCTTGTTTTTTAAGACCTCTTATAGGTGGAGGACAGACATGTACATGGTTACAGGTACACCTTTTATTTTTGCATTAAAATATACAATGTTCTCTATTTCTACTACAAAACGGTGTTTAGCATGAGTTAGCAGAATTGTGATAGTACTGTGATTGTGATAGTACCATGAACTGAGTGAGTTTTAATGCACTATACAATACTATTCTGTACTGTCAGCTGTAAGGAGCAGGTCAGCAATAAAACACCTGGTGTTCATAGTCAACTCTTTATTCAAAGAAACCAAAACAGCTCAGGCCTAGTGATCAGAGCCACTCTTCTCTATAGGTCTTGCCCCAATGAGGCAGTTGCGAGGACTGAAGTTCTTTGCCTTCCCACTGCTCTCTGCCTCCTCCCCCAGCAACCTGAAACTCCTCCATCTTGTCTCTCTTTGCTTTGCCTCTTCCTTCCTCTTTGTGTTCTGGGAGACCAGGGGGAGGAGAGCTGGTCACAGCAGGAGGGGCAGACCCCCTGGCTTCTTCAGCAGCCTGCCTCCACTTTGCTTCTTGACCTGCCTCTGCTTCTGGACTGCTCTCTGCCACAGCCTCTTCCTGCTCACTAAACCGTGTTGCCTCTTCAGCTCCCGACACCACCTCCTAGTCTTCTCCCTCCGACCCCTCATCGTCATCCCACCACCAGTCCCCTGGCTCTGAGCCTTCTTCCCATGGGGGTTCCCAAGCTGGTGCCCCCCACCACTCCTCTGCTTCCAGCCAGTCCATGACATATACTATATACTATACTTGCCAAGCAACAACTTACCAGCCACAAGCTGCTGTGCAGCACAGTAACAGCCGCTTTTCTAGGGAAATGGATCTCTGAGCAACCTGGGAATTTTGTGTAGTTGCTCTTGTCTCTTTACTGTTGACACTTTTTTCCATACTGTGTACCATTCTACTTTTCCTGTCGTTATGATTATCCACCAACCCCCATCAAATTGTGAGCAGGACCAGGTTTACATACAGTTTTTTTGTTATGAAGGCACTTTAGAAAATCATCATTATCGCCTCTGTCAGTACTGATCTGATTCTGAAAGAATCTTAGAATCAGAGAATTGTAGAGTTGGAAGGGTCCCTTGAGGGTCATCTAGTCCAACCCTCTGCAATGCAGGAATCTTAACTAAAACATTCCTGACCGATTGTCATCTAATCTCTGCTTTAAACCCTCTAAGGAAGGAGAGGCCACCACCTTCTGAGGAAGCCTCTTCCACTGTCAAACAGCCTTTACAGCCAGAAAGTTCTTCCTTGTGTTTAGTCAGAATCTCCTCTTTATTCTATATAGTTCTGTACTTTTTGCTTTCTCAGTCTTAGTCAGTAGTAGTAGTAGTAGTTTTTAACTGCCCATCTCTCAATAATTAGTTAATTTGTTATTAGTAGAGGGCTGGAGTAATTTGTCTGGCTTCTCGAGACCAACTGCAGCTGTATTGCTGAATCCAAATTTGGAGCAGGTCTGTGTCCCTTCTGCAGCTCATCAACAATGTTGCAGCAAGACTGTGGCCCTCACTTTGTTTTGTTCTTCCTTGCAGTGTGTCTCCAGCCCACCGAAAGCAGTTGCCATCTCTTGGAGAATCGCAGTCGGATTTGAAGATAAAAGGTACATGTTGTGCTTTTGTTGGAAGGACAAGCATGTAATAATTGTCAGTCAAAGGGATTTGTTGGAACCGTATTGAAATGTGTTTGCCTTTGTGTGTGGGCATGTATGTGTTCAGAGGACCTGCACGTTACAGGGAGCCTGATGGGGGAAGAGGTGAGGGAGAGTTGCAATGCATCACTGTGCTTTGTATGCAGGCACAAATTGTATTTGCCTATAATAATAATTATTATTATTGTTTATTATTTGTACCTGCCCATCTGGCTGAGTTTCCCCAGCCACTCTGGGCGGCTTTCAACGAAGATTAAAAATACATTAAAATGTCACACATTAAAAACTTCCCTTCAGGTGTCTTCTAAATGTCAGGTAGTTGTTTATCTCTTTGACATCTGATGGGAGGGCATTCCACAGGGCGGGCGCCACTACTGAGAAGGCCCTCTGCCTGGTCCCCTGTAGCTTTGCTTCTCGCAGTGAGGGAACCGCCAGAAGGCCCTCGGTGCTGGACCTCGGCGTCCGGGCAGAACAATGGGGGTGGAGACGCTCCTTCAGGTATACTGGGCCGAGGCCGTTTAGGGCTTTAAAGGTCAGCACCAACACTTTGAATTGTGCTCGGAAATGTGCTGGGAGCCACCAATGTAGGTCTTTCAAGTGTTATGTGGTCTTGGCGGCCGCCCCCAGTCACCAGTTTAGCTGCCTATAATCTCCTTGGGTTTTATTCACAGTAGCACTGAGCAGCATGTCCTGTTGTGCCAGCAAAAATTGTTGCACACTAAGGTCAAGGTCAAGCAATGTTGGGTGTGATTGGCAGATGTTATTCCAACCTGTTATTTGCCCCATCTAAATGCATGGCTAATATTTACTCCTCTGCAAGGGGAATAAAGTGATAGCATTTGCGACAGCTATAGAAATGGAAACTAAACCTGCTCCTGATGACCACAGATGGGAGCGAGGCAGCACAGCTCTTCTGTCACTTCTATCCTAGATTCCTGCTTGTTTAGCTTGTCCCATAGAACTCCATGGAAACAACTGAAAATCAAGCCAGCCACTGTCTGTATTGCAGACGGAGATGAGAAGCGCAACCTCCTCCTGAGCTCTGTTTTTGGTCACACTAGAGTGTAATGGAATGTAGAACTAACTTTATTTACAGATGGCTAGATAAATCTGACTAGAACTGGATTCCATCTAGTCTTCTCATTGGATTATAAGGCTAGGAGGAGGATTTCTTAAGCTGTGGGGTTGTGAGTCTTGGAACAGTACACCCCCCAGAACTCTTAACAAGCAAAAAGAAGGTCTTGCTTAATGCTGTGCTTTATGTACCAGTTAAACATACCTTCTAGGTAGGGCAGAGGAAGTGGCCTGGTACTGAGTTGATTCTTTAATTCACCTAGATTAGTATTGTCTTCACTGACTGGCTGTGACTCCCCAGAGTTTCAGACTGCGAAAATTGCCAGCTTTGCCTGGAGATGCTGGGGACTGAGACCTTCTACGTCTTTAGCTGTAAATCAAAATGCCCTAATCTGACAACTAATATGCACTTCTGCTTAGGAAGATGTACAAATTAGAAATTTGTGTGAAGTGATTTCAGTTAACTGAAATCAGTTGCTCTCTCCCTTGCAGATTTCTAAATCAGCCTACCTTCTCTCTCTCTCTTTCACTCACTCACACACACCAAAGTAAGCAAATATAAAGCAAAATGATGGAAGGATGATAGTTCCCTTGTCCTTTTATGTATATATATATATTTTAAAAATACTATTTCACTGCCCCTCAGCACCATCAAATCAATACTTGTGGGCAAGCCTGCAGCCCACTGCAAATGTATAGCAGATCAGCTGCTGCGAGGCTGAAAGCTGAGCTTTCATATCACCTAGAAATGCTTGGGCCTCCTTTCAGAGACTGCCTTTTCTCTCCTAGTCTCAAACTTCATGACATGGTGGAAGATTCAGCCCCATCATTGACCTCTGCCCTTGCCACTTTTATTTCCACCAGGTTCATTTCTGGTATCTGAGCCTAACAGGGAGAGAAAATGAGTTCTGGTGATAGAATGGGGAAGTAAACCCACAGATGTGGGGAGCATCCAGGTCTCTTAACTGTCTCCTGCTGCTCTAAAATTCACCACCAGCACCACCTGCCTCGTATCTGACCGAACAGATGCTTCTGCCCCTGTTGCCTATAGCATGAGCCTCAGAACAGTGAGCCAAAGGAGAACCATCATTTTCTCCACAGGAAACAAAGGATTCATGGATCAACTAGCATAGTCCTGTAAGCATGCTGGAATGGGGTCTGAATGTAGACTATGTGGTGAAGCAGTTGCAGGAATGATGACTTTCATCAAAATCCCAGTTCTTGGAGACTTCAGTCTCTGGTATTTCCCATTAGCTCCAGATGTGTGAAAGGAAAACCAGAGTAGGAATGCCATGTTAGATTGGCCAGTGGTCTGACCCGCGCAAGGGGACTTCAGAGTGCCCAAAGTGCTTCACAAGCTGCATTGTGGATGGGACTTTGGAGCTTATTGCTGCTAGGGAAGTTGATGGTTTCTTTAAAAAAATAAAAAATAAAACAGGTGCTCCAGACCAAATTTAAATCTAGGGGAAAGACATTCATATGAGTGGCTCCAGCTATTTACCTAAACTTCTTCTGTCCTGACAGCAATGGCAAACTTGGGATATCACCTGATGCTCTGTCGAGCCAATGACTTGGATCTCATTGAGGTAAGCACTGGGGGAATTTCTGCAAAATGAGACTGTCTCTTCATAGACAACTTATTCCATTTCTTAACTGTTCCCTCAGGATCCCCTCCCCTTTTAAAATTTTAAACCGCTGTCCCCTAATTTCAAGACTCCAGCAGCTTAATTTGCTTGCACTGAATGTGGCGAACAGTTATTCCCCTTCCTGAGATCATTTTAAACTATTTTTGAAAGTTCAGGTTCTAGTATGAAAAAAGACTAAGGGGGTAACATATCCACTTCATCCTTTCCTCCTGGCTTTCCTTTCCTAGAGCCTTTGAAATGTGTCTTGTTTTCAGTGACCCTCTGTATACAAGTTGCTGAAGATGGGGAACACATGGTTGTGGGGGTGCCCTGCCCATGGCAGCCTCTGGAGGCCTCTAACAGGCAACAATTTGGTGCAATGCTGCAGTAGAATAATAAGATGGTAGAGCTGGATGAGGGTCCTCTAGTCCAGGGATAGGCAACCTAAGGCCCGTGGGCCGGATGCGGCCCAATCGCCTTCTCAATCCGGCTCACGGACGGTCCAGGAATCAGCGTGTTTTTACATGAGTAGAATGTGTCCTTTTATCTAAAATGCATCTCTGGGTTATTTGTGGGGCGTAGGAATTCATTATTTTTTTCCAAAATATAATCCAGCCCATCACATGGTCTGAGGGATGGTGGACTGGCCCATGGCTGGAAAAGGTTGCTGACCCCTGCTCTAGTCCAACCCCCTGCAATGCAGGAATCTCAGCTAAAGCACCCATGACAGATGGCCAGCCAACCTCTGCTTAAAAACTTCCTGTGAAAGAGAGTCCACCACCTTCCGAGGAAGTCCATTCCATGCAGACCCTCTGCCTGCCTGCCTGTCCCAGCAGGGCTAGTCTCCAAGTTCTTTCCTCCTTGTAGCACCTATGCTGAATGTCATGCTACAGTAGATGGGTACTCCTACTTCCTTTCTCAAAAACCATCTTCCTGTTAATGGTAAAGGTAAAGGTCCCCTGAAAGTTAAGTCTACAAGGAGGAAAGAACTTGGAGACTAGCCCTGCTGGGACAGGCAGGCAGACGACTCTGGGGTTGCAGTGCTCACCTCGCTTTACTGGCTGAGGGAGCCAATGTTTGTCCGCAGACAGTTTTTCCGGGTCATGTGGCCAGTATGACTAAGCCGCTTCTGGCGAAACCAGAGCAGCGCACGGAAACGCTGTTTACCTTCCCGCTGGAGTGGTACCTATTTTTCTACTTGCACTTTTTGGCGTGCTTTTGAACTGCTAGGTTGGCAGGAGCAGGGACTGAGCAACAGGAGCCCACCCCATCATAGAGATTCGAACCACCAACCTTCTGATCGGCAAGCCAAAGAGGCTCAGTGGTTTAGACCACAGTGCCACCCGTGTCCCTGTTGCTGTTAACACAGCCCAAATGACCCCTACTTTTTGTGTTGTATCAATTGCAGTTTTTGTCGTTGTTAATGCTGCCACCTCCCAATAACTGGAGAGCTATGTGTTTATGTGTTGTATTTTTACAGGGAAAGGTCTCTGCGCAGGAGCAGCTCCACTTCCTGGAACAACTAGTGGCTGTGATTCCTGCTCAAGCACTCAGGTGAGAGAGGTTTTTCAAGCACAAAGAGGATTGGAATCTCCCTTGCCAAACTGATGAATCTGGTAACTGTTATGCTAGCGGGATCTATTGGATTGATAGCCTTTGTGGGGTATTTAGCTTTACTGTCAATCTTGCTGAGCAGGATTGAGTTAGTTGGCAAAGGGTACAGAGTTCTGTGCCTGATAAGATGCCAGCAGATTCTGAAACTTGGATTAAATTAGCACATTACAAGTATGTCCTTGGCAAGTTAGTCCTGGATATTTTGTGGTCAAAGTTCCAACTGCTGTGGGTATTTTGTTTTGTTTTAATAGTGGACCAGAGAATGAGGAATTAAATATTTGAGGCAGAGTTGTAGATGGACAGGAGCTGGGGGACTATGGTGAGAATCCTGGACATATCATACATACTGCCAACCCAGCAACAGCACCTCTCCCTGATTCCTAAGGCCTTCAGCACACCACACTTCTACCAGTCTTTCTCTGTAACCAGGAGGACTAGAAGCATTTCTAGTGCTTGGCTGTAAACACCCAGGGATGCCTTTTGTCAGGCTTCATAAGCAAGGGAGACAAAGAGACCACTCCACAGTGCACAGGAATCAATTTTGAGCTTCACGACTTGGGGGCAGCTGAATAGGGCTGCAGGGGGAAGTGACCTGCTTTATATGGCACCATAGGGTTGGAGGAGAATAGATGAAGGTAAGGATTTGATGTCTTGAGTGGTGTGGTAAGATTATTTCGCAAATTATTAGCCCTATGGGAAGATGATTTTGTGGCCTAAAGCAGAGCTCAGATGCCAGCACTGAACAGGTTGCTTCAGATTGTTTGTAAACTTTTAAGCAGTTCCTCTGAAGAAACTGGATCAGGTTCCCCTAAAATGTGTTGTGAGCCAGTTTTAGGGTCTAACACGCTTTGAGGCCACTTTCTTCCCTTTGTTTCCTGTGCTCGTGCCTCCCCCTCCCTGCCTCAGTATCACGAAGCTGCCCCATTTTGAGCTAAGCACTGGCTGTGGTTTGTGCCATTCAGCCTCTACTAGCCTCCTCCAGAATTCATGGGAGGTCCAGGTACCAAGATGGAGCTCTGAGCCTGTTCTTCCTTTTATTATACCAAAGCAGCATATCCTTCCAATAATAGGGTTAAACCACAGCTTTCTTGATTTCTTTGCTCCACTGTTCACCTTAGCAGAGCTAGGAATAGACCAGCCTGATTGATGCCTGATAAGCTGTCCTGGGATGTGCTGCCATTGTCACCTGTCTGTAGTTCTTACCCCTCCCCTTCCTCTTCCAGCGCAGTGGAATCTTTCCAAGAGATAGGTAGGAAGAATGAGGCATTTATCAAGCAGGTTTTCACCAGCCCTTACCTGCAGAGTGTGCTGAACCCAGAGTGCCACCCCTGGCCTTCGGACATCAAGGGCCTCCTGTTGAGAGAAGATGTGCTGCAGGAAAGGTGAGCTGCTCGGTTTCTGTGCCAATGCCTGCATGTGGAAAAGAGCCCACAGGTTCTTACACCGTGTTTCTAAAGCTAGAATGAGACTAGAGGCCAAACCAGAGAAAGACTTGGTTAGTATAAGCCTGAAGTGGGGATGGAGCCCCCATGAGATGAACTCCCAGGCCTCATGGATCCCCCATCTCCTTCATTCCCTATTGCCATATCTCCCCTTTGGACACCAGTGGTGGAATCAGGGAGTTGTGATGCCCAACCTCCCTTCCTGTGTCTATCAAGGTCCCTTCTGTCCGTGACCTCTCATGAGGAAACCCTGCTAGAGGCATCGAAGGAGCTGGAAGAGGTGGTGGCAGCTCTACAAGATCTCAGGAAAGAGGTAAGCAGCCTGCAGACTGGTCTGGGTGTCTTCCAGGGAGCAGGGTTGAGTGAAGAAGGGGTTGCTGCTTACCCAGTCACCTGGAACAGCTGGCCCAGCTGTAAGGTGCATCAGTGCTGTCGGTGGCCCCCTATGTTCTGATGGTTCATGGTGGGATGTTGGGAGGCTGGCCTTAGAGTCTGAAATTCTCTGATTATTTAGATTTTGCTAAGGATATGCTCACTAAGTGCTGAGCCTGCATATTGAACAGTGACCATAAAGAAGGCAGGAGAGTCTCCATCCCCTTCTCATCCCACCACCTGTGTTTCCCTTGGTCCTTGCACTCGCATCTGGACTAAGGCTCTTTTTGGGAAAGGCTTAACAGTGCTGGGTTTTTTTGCCCTGCAGTGAAGGAAGGTGGGGCATAGCATTATTTGTACCGTACCCATCTGACTGTGTTGCCCCAGCTTCCTCTAACCGTCACAAAACTCTGCCTTTTCAGTGTTCCTTCCTGCATGGGGATCCGGCTGGTGCAGATGCATCCTCTGCCCATGCCACAGCTCTGCAGACCCTCAGACTGATGGCTTCCGATTTCAGCCAGCTGCTTGTGGCCTTCAGCCAGGTGTATGAGCGCCAGCTGCAACAGCATTGTGAGCGCCCGGCTCCTGTGCTGAGCTGCCTTGGCCCCCTTGTCCAAGAGGTCCACCTTGGCCTGCAACTCTGTGTGCAGGTGAGACTGGAGGTGGGTGGCGGGTGGCAAGGAAGGAGCTCAAGGGTGAGCAGTCAGGTGCCCATAATATAGGGAAGCAGTTTTTAGTTCTCAAATGATGCCCAATGGCTCCGATATTTAGGGAAATGGAGTGGGGTAGTAATAATACAAATAGCTAAAGCATGTCACAGTTCGTTTCCTAGCAATCACCCCGCTGTTTCCCCAGGGCTTTTGTACCTTTCCTAGGTCTGGTGTTCATTAAGTTACTAAGACCTGTGTCTAAGTTGTACCACTTCAGTCTGCAGGTAGGGGCTCACGTAATGGACTGCTTTCTGCGTGAAATTAACCCTAGATGAGTATGTGAGTTAGAAGGCTGGTTAGATGATGTTGGGGCAGGTCTTTCCTCCACCCCAACTCACCTGGAATCTGGAACAATATTAGACTGTTACCAGTGATTAGGACACCAGGCTAGTGAGATGATGCAGCTGATCAGGCTCTTTGGTTTCATCAATGCTCCTACCTCCAGGAGTTGCAGGCTTTCCTCCAGGTTAAAGAAACTTCAGAGTGCATCGTGAACACTGTGAAACAGAAGGAGCAGGGGAAAAGGTTTTGGAGCGGCAGTGCCAAAGCCACACTGTGTGAGTACTGTGCCCAAGAGGAGATGGTTTATTGGTGTATATCATTAGTACTATTGTATAGATATATAGACTGCTTCACAACATAAAGCCACTGAAGAGGTGTACACAGTAAAAACAGAATAAAATGCAGAAACTCAAGCACTCTAGGAACCATGAAGTGGATCCAACAAGTTCTTAATATTTTTTTTTTATAATGATTTTATTAAGGTTTTAAACAAAGAAAAAAAGAAAAACAACACACACAAAAAACAATACAAAACTTAACAATAAAAACAAAACATAACAATTAAAAACAAACTCTCTTTTCCCCTCCAATTTTAGATTACTTATTTTCTGGACTTCCTCATACCTCCTTTTTTTGTATTCCAATCCACATTATTTGTCCAGCAGTTTCTTTTCCACTTTTTTTAATCCCAATCTTTAATTTAATAAAATGTTAAAATATATAACTTCAACTTTTTTAAACCTAATCCTTACTCTTAATATCATATAGCTTTAAATTTTTCCCTTTTATTATCAAATTTCCATTTCTTTATACGTCTTTAATCTTGATCTTTAATCTTAATCTATCCTTAACTTTAACCTATACAGCTGGAAACCATTTATTTTCAATCCAACATCACTCTAACATTCCTTAATTTTGCAGTGTTTCTGAAGATAGTCTTTGAATTTCTTCCAGTCTTCCTCCATCGACTCTTCTCCCTGGTCACGGATTCTGCCAGTCATTTCCGCCAATTCCATATAGTCCATAAGTTTCATCTGCCATTCCTCCAGCGTGGGAAGTTCTTGTGTCTTCCAGTACTTTGCGATGAGTATTCTTGCTGCTGTTGTTGCATACATAAAGAAAGTTCTATCCTTTTTAACACCATTTGGCCCACTATGCCCAGGAGAAAGGCCTCTGGTTTCTTGGGGAAGGTATACTTAAATACCTTTTTAATTCATTATATATCATTTCCCAGAAAGCCTTAATCTTTGGGCACGTCCACCAAAGGTGAAAAAATGTACCTTCAGTTTCTTTACATTTCCAACATTTATTATCGGGCAAGTGATAGATTTTCGCAAGCTTGACTGGGGTTATGTACCACCTGTATATCATTTTCATAATATTCTCTCTTAAGGCATTACATGCCGTAAATTTCATACCTGTGGTCCATAACTGTTCCCAGTCAGCAAACATAATGTTATGTCCAACGTCCTGTGCCCATTTAATCATGGCCGATTTTACCGTTTCATCCTGAGTATTCCATTTCAGCAGCAAGTTATACATTCTTGACAAATTCTTAGTTTTGGGTTCTAACAATTCTATTTCTAATTTGGATCTTTCCACCTGGAAGCCAATTTTCCTGTCCAATTTAAATGCCTCCATTATCTGATAATAATGAAGCCAGTCTCGCACTTTTTTAGTTTTTCAAAACTCTGCAATTTCAGTCTATCTCCATCTTGTTCCAAAATTTCCCAATATTTCGGCCATTTGACCTCCATATTGACCTTTTTCAAGGCTTTCGCTTCCATTGGTGACAGCCACCTTGGGGTTTTATTTTCTAACAAATCCTTATATCTTAACCAAACATTAAATAGCGCTTTCCTGACAATGTGGTTTTTAAATGCTTTATGTGCTTTGACCTTATCATACCATAAATATGCATGCCATCCAAATACATTATTGAAACCTTCCAAGTCCAAAATGTCAGTGTTTTCAAGAAGTAGCCATTCTTTCAACCAGCAAAAGGCTGCTGATTCATAATAAAGTTTAAGGTCTGGCAGGGCAAATCCACCTCTTTCTTTTGCATCTGTTAGTATTTTAAATTTTATTCTAGGCTTCTTGCCCTGCCAGACAAATTTAGAAATATCTTTCTGCCACCTCTTGAAACAATCCATTTTGTCCACGATCTGCAAAGTTTGAAACAAAAACAACATTCTAGGCAATACATTCATTTTTATCGCAGCAATACGGCCTAGCAGTGAAAGCTTCAAATTTGACCAAATTTCTAAATCTTTTTTCACTTCTGACCAACATTTTTCATAATTATCTTTAAATAAATTCCCATTTTTTGCTGTCATGTTAATCCCCAGGTATTTAACTTTCTTAACCACTGTTAAGCCTGTCTTATTCTGAAACCTCTCTTTTTCAAACGGTGTTAAATTTTTCTCTAGAACCTTGGTTTTTGACTTGTTCAATTTAAATCCTGCCACTTGACCAAATTCTTGAATCAGTTCTAAAACCCCTTTTGTACTAGATTCTGGCTCCTGTAACGTCAATACTAAGTCATCTGCAAATGCTCTCAATTTATAATGTTTAATTCCGACCTGTATACCTTTAACCATCTTTAACCAACAAGTTCTTAATATGCCTGCATGCTTGGTTGTCCCTGCCACCCTTGGCACAGAGCCTTGCCTATATAGCATTCCAGTCTTCTTCTGCAGGTGGGAATGGCTCCCAGCTGCAGTGCTAATAGAGAAACTCCATTGCTGCTTAAATCCAAGGAGAGGTCACAGTGTGGAGATGTGATTTGTGACTGGGATGCTTTCTGAGCTCACGTTCCTTCCATCCTAGTCTAATCCTGTGAAAAAAGATCTAACTCTTTCAGGAAGTTTGCATTTTGGGGGAGCTAAAAATCTACCTTTAGAGCTACGAGGAAGAAGGCTCAGGTGCCCTGTGTACTGGCCAGGTAGTGGCATCCAGCAGTTGGGTCAGTCGGTTCCTTTATGCCCCTTCTAAGCATAGCCTAGCAGCTTCCATAGCAGCAGAGGAACAACAAGAATCGAGAGGCTGTCTGGCTCAAAAGGAAAAGGGGAGAAAGCCAATGACTTCAGGACCCCAGTGCCTTTTGTAGTCACTACCATAACTAGCCAGTGTTTTACTTTTCCAGCTTCAAAACTTGAAGAGTTGCAACAGAAGTACAAGGCTATCCATGCAGCACTCAAGAAGTGCCAACAACCCTGAGTTCTAGTCGTCTGCACATTGTAGGATATTATGGAGGAAAAGACTTGCCTGTTGCGTTCCTAAATTTAAATATATTCTTCTGTATATATTCTTTTGTGAGAATAAAGAGCATGTTTGTACTTTTGTCTTTATTTCATTGGGTTGAGGGAACACTCTTTCTCCATGGTCTTCTGGACTGTTGTTCAGGTGCAGTTTAGATTTCTGTAATACATTTTTTTTAACAGCCCAAGTTGAAACTCTCATCTTAGCTACTGGCTTTCCAACATTTTTCTGGTTTTTAGTTTGAGATGAATGAGCAACTCTCCTCTGCTGCCCCTGCATCTTCCTGTTATCAAAAGGACAATAGGTTTAGTTTCCACTTCTGTAATTTAAGCACCATGTTAGCTCCCTCTTTGTGACTTCTTTAGTCATTAGCTTTTGCCTGTCACCTAGTTGGTTGATCTGGCCTTGCTGTGTTGGAAAGAATTAAATTCATCTCTAAATCATGTTGGACAGGCTTGTTCACAGCTTCATAAACCAATAAGCCAGAGTTCCCGATTATGGAGAACTCTGGCTTAATGCCAGGCTCTGCAGGCAGAAGCCAGCAGGCGACAGGGGGCAAGTGAGGAATACATGGCCATGATACCCTGATGTATATAAACAATGGTACAGACATAATATGAGCTATTAACCATTGTTAGGTAATTTAGCTGGCGCATGCAGATGGAGCACTCCTGCTCCCCTCCCCTCCCTAAGGGAAACAACTTGGTTTTCTTGGTTTGTTTCTCCCAATGAGCCTTGGCTTCCTGACCACAGCTTGTTCAGGAGAAAAACCACAAGCACTAGCTAGTCTGGATGCAATGCTAAGCAGGAACTGCCCGTCCAATTTTGCCACCTCAGGTGAAATGGAAAGGTGCCCCCCCCCCCGCCAAAGCCTCACTTACCTGAGTCACATGGCCGCTTCCGGTGACATCTCGCCAGAAGCCACCGCCATACAATCCCAATGGCAGGGGGCACTGCCCCATGAGATTCTGCCACCAAGGTGGGCTGCTTCACTCCGTCTCATGGGCCCTGATGCCCAGTCAGTTGCTCCATGGTTTGTTTCTCACAGGAAGGAGTAAAGCTGGAGTGCTCAGGCTGAGTGCAGTAGCTAATTTCACTGACCATAGCTAATGGCACCGGTTATAGAGAAATGCAACCAGTATTCCTTGGAGACTAAACAATTCTGTAACTCCAGAGGAGTTCATCTTAAGTTGGAAGAGGTCTTCCTAAGGCATCAGATTTCTCCATAAGGTAAATTATAGAACAGGTTTCCTCAACCTCGACCCACCATATGTTTTGAGACTACAGTTCCCATCATCCCTGACCACTGGTCCTGCTAGCTAGGGATCATGGAAGCTGTAGGCCAAAAAACATCTGGAGGGCCGAGGTTGAGGAAGCCTGTTACAGAAGGTCAAATTTTCCCTTGTATTCTGAGGGAGTGAGAACTATCAATGGATTTATACACCATGGGAGGGCTTATTTTTATACCAAAATGTCACGCTAATTCATATTTCTCGTGTCACCATTCCTTCATTATTATTATCTTTTTTTTAAAAAAGGCCAGCTCAGTACTGGAGAGGGAAGTCTTTGAAAGCTACCAGAACTGCTTTGTTTCCTTGCCACAAAATAAATATGTTTATATATCACCTGTATTGCCACCAGAGAATTGAGGAAACTTTGTTCTGATTGAGGCTGATGCAAGTCATAGGGCAAAACATCTAGAGGGCACCAGGTTGGCAAAAGCTGGTGTAGATTAGCAGGAAAACTAATATGTCTCATTTCAAGCTTGTTTATATAGAATAGAAGCAGGGCTTTTTTTCCCCAGCCAAAACTCACCAGAACCCAGTTCCTGCACCTCTCAGGTGGGCGCCATTGCCATTGTAAGAGAACAAGGGAGGCGTTCATGGTGAGTTCCAGCACCTCTTTTTCTAGAAAAATAGCACTGAATAGAAGCATTTCCATTTTTTGCCAATGATAAGATGAAACATCGTACATTCTCCTGACTGTTTTTAAGACTGTTCTCCGTTGCTTCCAAGGCAAGAGTGCTGCTCTATAAAGATCTCACTTCAAAGGTTTCCAAAATATCCTTTTCCCTGTTCGCCATTAATGGTCATCAGCTTGTTGATAAAATCTGTTGAGTCATACACACAGGATTTGATGTTGGGTAGGAAAACCTTAAGTGGAGCACATACTAAGGAGAGTGGCTCAAAGACTGAGCTGTTTGCTTGATGCAATTGGTTGTCCTGGAGGTAAAAAGCTAGTCTTACAAATCTTCAGTAAACCATCAGCAATCCTTGGGTATTACGTTTATATAAAATTTGTATTGATGGATGGCTGTATTCTGTTGCCAAGTTGTTTTCCAAAAAATTATTCCAATCCTGGAGTGAACTAGACTCTCCTACACACTAGCGGAGTAACTTCTTATGGCCAGCAAAACTTTCAGAAGTTGCCAGGGGACATATTTGTGCTGCTGTAAATGTGTGTGCCTCTTCCTAGCAGTAGAAAATGTAACATATGAAGTGGCCCTTATACAAGTTCTTTTCCATGCTATCTTCAAAGCTAGATAATTGGACCAGCTTCTCTTCAAAACAAGACCCCCCCTCTTGGCCTTGCTAATGTGCAGCTAGCTCACACCACTTATTTTATTTTATTTATTTATTTAGCAACACAGTTTCTATACACAGTTTCTGCTCATTCCAGATCTATAGTAGTTTAAAGCATTGAGCTCTCCTTTCCCCCTCCCTGGGGAATTAAAAGTTGTGCCAAGTGGGAAGCTGAGAATCTCTGAACTCGGCACACCCTGCACACGGGCATGGAGCTGGTGCAACTCTCGTTCTGTGAAGGTGTGGCCAATCTGACCATAAATTGCAAAAGGGAGTGCAGTTGATCACCTTGCATGTAGTGGGTTCAACTGGATTACCTTTGGGGGTCCCTTCCAATTCTGCAGTTCTATGAATTGCTCACTCAGGAGGTAAGCCCTGCATTGTGCTTGTACAGTGGTACCTCGGGTTACATACGCTTCAGGTTACACACTCCGCTAACCCAGAAATAGTGCTTCAGGTTAAGAACTTTGCTTTAGGATGAGAACAGAAATCGGGCTCCGGCGGCGCGGCAGCAGCAGGAGGCCCCATTGGTAAAGTGGTGCTTCAGGTTAAGAACAGTTTCAGGTTAAGAACGGACCTCTGGAACAAATTAAGTACTTAACCCGAGGTACCACTGTATGCCCTATTCCCCCCCCTCCATATTCTGCCGGGGGAAATGAATGATGTTCATGTGCAAAGTGGACCCTTCGGAGCCTAACCTTTGGAGCCGTCTGAGATCCTGGCTGCCGCATAAGAAAATAAAAGGCCCAGACTGGAGCCTCCACTACACCAACCAGAGGGAAAATTGGCTCCACTTGGCTGTATTGTTTCTCCTGGTGACTTTTAGTGGGGAAAGCAGGTCAAGTAAAACAATATATTCTAGACACAATTGAGGAGAAACTCTGGAAGAGTGAGCTTCGACCAAAAACCTGAAAGGCGGACATTTTATCCCTAACACTAAACAGCGCCCATGGTGTTTATTCCCATATTACAGACATTCCAGCACCGGACGACAAGCCACGTGAGGTAGTTGGGAGTTGACTACTAAGCTGCAGGTGGGTATCTGTCTGCACTTCTGCATTAGATTTGTGGGAGCACTTTCAAATGCAGCAGGGTTAGGGATTTTGCCACACATCCAGTGTGATGATGAGCTCTGGAGAACCCGAAAGCTTGCACACTGTTTTGTAAACATTTTGATTTGTAGCAATCCTGACAATGGTGTAGGAAGATTACAGGCACACTGTGTGTGTGTATTGCCCAGAATTAAGTCCAGCTCACCAGTAGTCCCATAACAAGCCATTCCTCCTTTCCTTTCTTAATACTCTCGGTCTCATCTGTGCACTGCCAAACTAGGTAATCCAGTGAAAGTAAATCTTTTCCTCCTCCTCGCTGCAGCCAGATCCACACTTCAGCCTTGCTTACTGCCAGCAAGCTCCTTGTGTTTGGCTGAAAGATGGACTCAGCAAACTAGTGATGCAGCCCCAACCCACCTCCCCTCTGTACTGTGTTCATAGAAAGGTTAATTTGATAATGCAAAAAACAACGAACACCCAACCCTCATCTTAATGTCATTCTTACATGCAAATATACAACTTGAGATGCTTGTTGTTTTTTCTAAAGTCAGTGATGTGTGGGGACAAAGCCAAATACAAACATTCAGAAGTGATAATCTGAGTACCATGGAGCAGTCAGTGGTTTCCCTCCACTACTACAGACCTTTAACAGTGGGGATCCTGTTACCTTCTAGAGGCTGTTGGGACTACATATCACATAATCCTTAACTCTTGCTGATGCTGACTGGGGATGATGGGAGTCGACATCCATAAGCACCCGTTTTCCCTCCCTGTTGTTGGCATCCATTTGTCTCAAGAGACAACGCAATGCACCTTCTGGAGTGAAGAATCACAGCGCCTGCTGTGGCTGCAGAGACCGGTAGTTTGTAACTGCTATGTTAATAGCACAGTAGTGACCTCTTTGGGGGCACAGGCCTGAGCCGTGTGTATGGAGGTCCCCCTCTTGGCCTCACTGATGTGGTCCAAAGGAAAGCAGAGCAATACATTTGGCACCAGATTGGGACTCCACTCCAAATCGGTGTAGGGTTTTTAAGCCTTTTCTTCTCCTGAAGATATCCTACCAGGCAGCAGAGCTTTAGGGCCAGAGTTTTCCTTCTCCTGATGGGTTACCTTCTCAGGTTTACGAGCCCCACTTGCCCCTCACTTCCCTCTATAGCACGTGCAGAAACCACCTTCTTGACCACTGACTGGACCAACTCTTGCTCTTGTCTGCTCAATCCACCGGAGCCTGTCTTCTCATGCAGGGGAAGTCCCTGCTCACCAAGAGTTTGGGACCCATCAGTTACCCTTATCTAGTTTAGCTGGCCAGTCAAAGCTGTTTCCCAGGGTGTGGCAGCTGTCACATGCCGACAGCTTCTAGGAGCCACAGGTGAGAGCTTGTGCAGGCTGGGGGCCAAAGGTGGATAAACGACCCCAGAAGGAGCATGACGTTTCCCACAGCTTAACACCCCATGCAGCCCTCCCTGAGATGTAACTATCACATCAGATTGTGCTTCTGAGCTCTTCCATGGAAGGTGTCTCTGGAGCACAGCCTGCTTTATAGTGCAAGCAGTAGGAGTTTCATTTCTCTGACTAGGGCAGCAGGGGGCACCAAAAGACCATGAGCAATGTTCTCGTGTAGCGTGTAGGTTAAAGTTGTAGGCTGTGCCCCCAATCCTTCCACAGAGCTCAAGAAGATGCCTGAGCCCCATTTCCTTCTTACTGCCCTATTCGTTCTTTCTCTCCCCCCTTACCTCCCTCGCCCCCAAAGGAAAAATAGCAAAAAATTATGTGGAGGTTTCAGAAGCGAATGTTTCTTGATGTGCAATGTCTCCCTTAGCTGTTCATCTCAGCAAGTCTCTCCCATCCCACCCCCCAGAGCTCAGGAATGCAGGCCTTGAGCTGAGTCACCTTGGCTCAGTGTAAACACAGCCCCAAAGTGGAGTGGCTGCCTTATAGGGGAGAGATTCCAGTGCCCTCCCTGCCTGCCTCCCTCCCCCAGCCAGGAACAGGCCTCAACAGGCCTGGCTCCCAGCCCAGCCGCCCACCCCCATTCTGCAGCACACTCCCCATGTCCTATCCAAGGGGAGAGGCGGCGGCGCCTGGCTTGCCGCTCTTCCTCCAGTTCACTGCAATCTTGGCAGACTCAAATGCTGCTGCCCCAGTAGCTTAGGGCTGCCTGCCTGCGCATGTGCTGTGTTTCAGGCAGCTGGTTCTACAAGGGCAGTTAAGGGCTATTAACCCCTTAGGGGGTGCACATGTCTTGTGCTGCTGCATGTCAGAGCTGCGGAGGGCCGTAGGCGCGTCACAACGACAGCCCAAACGTGGGAATCTTCCTTATACAGAGCGAGATCGCGGTTCCATCTTGCTCAGTCTCTTCTATGCACTGGCTGGCAGCAGCTCTCCAGGAGACTTTCTTGGCACAGATACTGGAGGGTTGCACATGGGCCCTTCTGCAGGCAAGGCATGTGTCCTGCCCCTGAGCGGCTGCAATTGCTGCAAACTGCTCCCCTCTGCACACACTTCACCAGGGAACTCTTGTGGTGAAGTTCCTTCCGCGCTGGGATCCTCGGAGAGAGCAAGAAAGGAAGTGTGTGTGTGTTGATTGACTGACAGGCGGACAGGAGGAAGCTCATCCCTCTCTAACCACCCAACTTTCCTTTCCTTTCGGAGCCAGAAGTCTTGCCTCTGGTCTTTCTGATAACACCATCCCTCCTGCAACTAGGAAAAAGAAGCCAGGAGGACTGCAGGCCCACATCCACCCTGTTCTCATCCGCTCCATTTTCCTTTTCCATGCCAAGGGAATGGACCCAGGAGTCCTGGCTTGCAAATGCCCCCCCCCCCCACTTCCCTTTAAGTAGGAGACATGACCTCCTCACCCAGCTGGTATTTCTCAATGACGCTTAGGTCTATCTCCAGCTTCTCCCCCCCCCCTTTTTTTTTCATCCTTGCAAGGCCAGATTCCTGAGGGACTGAGGTAATGGGTGGGAGGGACTGGCTGCCCTGTTCACCCCCATCCTTGCTGTCATCATCTGGCAAGAAGCCAGGCCTGGTCTTGAGCATCCGGCTCGGCTCTCGGTTCCTCTGGGCTGCAGCCAACGCCCAGGCCTGCTGCGGAGCCTCCTGGCTGCTTCATGGCTGCTTCATGTCCCCGCAGTGGGGCAGAAGCAGTGGCAGAGGGGACGGGCCCTGTGGGCACCCACCAGGCAGCCCCTTCGCATTTCCGCTTAGCTGCCGAGTCGGCAAGTTTCCCCTTTTAAATTACTTTTAAGAAGAAGGGTAGTTGTTGAACCTGCTTCAGTCAGCTCTCCCAGGATCCCTTGAGGAGCCCCCATCCTCCTCTTGCACTGGTTTCAGGATTTGCAGGGGGGCTGTGCCTGTGGGAAAGCAGGCCATCATCAGTGGGCCCCCTTAACTGGCAAGGTGAGCCTGAACTGGGAGTGCTCCAGAGTCCTCTGCCCAGATGACTCATGGAAGCTAGCCAAGCTGCACCGCATGCCAAATTGTTTCCCCCCTTAAAAAATAACAACTCTGCACCTTCCAACTCTCCGTCATGCGACTAAAGGTCAGCTTCATCATTTTCTGGAAATGTGCTGCTGCCCAGGAACACTGTCATCCTAGGTTTGTCGAGCTCCTTCACCTCCCCTTTTCCAGTGTTGCTCCCAGCTTCTCACCCTAGAGAGCTGAGCATGCATTATTCTCCCTCTAACCCATGGGTAGGCAACCTAAGGCCCAGGGGCCAGATGCAGCCCAATTGCCTTCTAAATCTGGCCCACGGATGGTCCAGGAATCAGCGTGTTTTTACATGAGTTGAATGTGTCCTTTTATTTAAAATGCATCTCTGGGTTATATGTGGGGCATAGCAATTCGTTCATTTTCCCCAAAACAATATAGTCCAGCCCCCCCACAAGGTCTGAGGGACAGTGGACCAGCCCCCTGCTGAATGTTTGCTGACCCGTGCCTAACCCCACTTACATGGTACAGTCACAGATACTGTGATGCACTTAGGCGATTTTAGGCTCTGGACAGGATGGTCTAAGCAGATGGGGGCTGAGCTATTTTTAGATGGTTCCTGTTCACTTCATAGCGGGCTTAGCCTGTCCCGTGGAATTTGGGAGCCTTCCTTCCCATTATGCTGTGTGGGGCCCTGGAATCAACCCCAAAACCTTGCCTCAATGGCACCACTGCCTAGAGAAATGTTATCTATTTATTGTTACATGTAAATCCCACTTTTCCTCCAAGGCATTCAAGGTGATATACATGAGTCTTTGTCCTCCCCATCCTCCCCTTTGTCCTCACAACAACCTTGTGAGGTAGGTTAGGCAGAGAGAATGGGACAGCCCCAAGGTCACCCAGAGAGCTTCATGGCAGGGTGGGTGTGCGTTGAACCCTCATCGCCCAGGCCCAGGTCTTCATAGAGGTGGAAGGGTCATCTAGTCCAACCCCCTGCAATACAGGAATATTTAAATATTAGAATAGCTTTGGAAGTGGATTTAGGCTGCAGGGTTAGAAGGAGAAGATAGTGTATTTTAAATAGTATTATTTGTAAGGATAAAATGTGAAGATTTTTATGGTAAAAGTGTGGTAAGTGTGGTTTAAAAAATGGTTAAAAATTATGATATATGTAAACTGCTAAAGATGAGGTAAAATGAAAATCAGATGGGGGGACTTGGGGAAGCTCACCTAACAATGTTTAGAAAAAATAAGGATAAGACAAGAATTTGTTTGTATTGTTTGTTTTTCTGTTTGTGTTGTTTATTTGTGTTATAAAATGAATAAAAACAATTGGGGGGGGGTACAGGAATCTTTTGCCCAATGTGGGGCTCGAACCCACAGCCCTGAGATTAAGAATCTCATGCTCTACTAACCGAGCTGGTCCTAGTTCAACACACTAACCACTACACCACATTGTTTCTGGTGCTCTTCCCTATAAAGCCTCTGTCTGTTCACTTTGAGGGATGCCTGTTCAATGTGCCAGCAGACTATATAGCTGGTGAAGGCAAACTGCTTCAAAAGCCAGTGTATGGCAGGCTCTTGCAAAGCGAATAAAGAGCCACCTTTCCAGCTGCCCCCCTGGGCTATTTACGTAACTGCAGTAGGATCCGTGGCTGCTGCCTCATGCTGACAGCTTCTAGGAGCCACAGGGGAGAGCTGAGTGCAGGGTGGGAACCAAAGATGGACAAACGACCCCAGAAGCAGGTAAACTAGGTGAGGGGTCTCAAAGCCTCATTGAGTTAGGGACTTCTCTTGCATGCAGAGAGCAGACAAGACCAATAGTTGAACGGGGACTTCCGGGGTGGCATCATCGGTAATGGTGGACTCCCTCTGATCTGGAGGGACCAGCTCCATGGGAAACGGGTCTTTCCCGCTACGGCGAAGCGGGGACCCTTTCAAAAATCACGGGCGGATGAAGCCTGTGACCATGGGACTCGGCGGGCACCTTTAGCGCCCCCCCAACCCGCAAAGGAACCCACTAACGGGCTCCAGAGTGAAGAGGGGGAAGTGGCGCGGTGCTGAGAGTCAACTGCTTCTTCCGTGGAGCGAAGCCGCACAGCCGTTGCCGGAGAGCGCTGCCTTTTTCCTGGGACAATTTGGCTTTTAAAACAACTACCCGTGAGTACTTAAATTTCGGACAATTGGACTTCAAATAATGATTTGCGAGTAGAAAGGAAAATTGGACTAAGAAATTTACCTCAATTTGGCACTGAAACGGGAAGGTCTAAACAGGAAGTCAGCCTTCCGTTTCTTGTAGATAGATTAAAGCAAAGACATGGCAAACTAGAGTTCAGAAAAAAGCCTGTAAAGGATTAACTTTCATCATTTAAAATTGTTGAACCCCCTTCGGAAGCAGGAGAAGAGGGGGGATTTTTTCCAGACTGTTTAAACCTGCAGAAGAGAGTGTAACGCAAAGTAACTTTCCACCGTCTTGATCCTGGAGCGGGGTGTCAGGACTGACGTTCTTCGGGAAGCTCATTGACCAGAGACAAACGTCTTTGACAGATAGTTAAAAGAAGAGAAACATAGTGATTCCATTGTTCCCCTTCGCATTTTAAAGGAACAAATATTGACAAAATATCTGAAAAAGGAAACTTTGTTGTTAGATCTGCCCTTAAAGGAAAAGAACAAATAGAAGCTCTTCCCCTAGAGGGAGCCTGTGAAACTGTTACCAATTCTGAACTGGGGAGCTTGCAGCTGCAACAGATTACGATCGTGGGAATAGACTTCTGACCTTGCAGAACAATGTATTCAGAAGCTCTGCTGCGTGCTTTCTGTAAAACAAGTGCCCTACTGGAACAGCTACATGAGAAGACGGACTTGATGACTCTTGCGATCAGAGATTTTGGACAGGTAGTGGGAAACTATATAGAGCCCATCCAGGAATCAAATCAGGAATGTGCTCTGACAGAACAGATGAGGGAAGAGGATGTTGCTGAATCTTGGGCGCCAGAGATGGAGGGAGCTGTGGCCCAGCAGGAACATGAGTTCTTGGATTTGACAAATGAACTTGGAAAAAGCCAGATTTGGAAAGATAAAGTTTGGTTTGGTTTGGAAATGGGGGGTTGGATAGACCCCCCTATGCAGGGATGTTTGGACTTTTCAAGTCTGGCAATGGGCCGTGAGATGTTTGGGGTTGTGGGGGCTCTTAATTCTGGAGGGACTTTGAAACATGTTTTTAAATACCACATGGAGTTTTGTGTGGACTATGGAAAAGGGGCTGATTTGTCGAGAAGGGTCAAAAACACTGTTAAGTTGGAGTTCCCACGAGTGAAAGGAGCAGGAGACAAAGTAAAGTACAGGTATAAATATGAAGGAGAACTGCGGATGGGACATGGAAGGGATTTAAGGGCCTCAGACATAAGATTACCAGGTTAATGTGCTAGATTGATGGGATAGAAAGGACTGACAAAACCCGGGACCAGGAGGAAGAGACGCTGGATGAAGATTGGAAGAAGAAGAAAAAAATTATTAGGATTGTTTTATAAAATTGATGAACGTTAGAAAAATGTTGGAATGAAATTATCTGGCTTTAGCAAAAATGTTTAAAGAATTATGTAAGAATATTATGGTTAGGAGAAATTAGTATAAATAAGATCTAAGTTTTTAGTTTTAAGGTTTTTTATAGTAAGATAAGATTAAAAAAGATTAAGGAAATGTAATGACAGAATATTATGAAATATGGAAAGGATTTGCTGTGACAATTAACAACTAGGATACAAAAAAGGGAGGAGTGAGGAGGTCAAAGAAAGAAGGTAATGACAGTTTAGGATTTGAGAATATTGGATTTGTTTTTAAATGTTTGTGGCATATTTTTGTTTTTTGATTGTGTCGTGTTATTTTTTGATTTTGATTTTTATCAATTTGTATTGTTCGATTGTGGTTTGTTTTTCTTTTGTTTTTTCTCTCTCTTTTTCTCTTTGTTTTTCTTTTTGTAATTCTAAAATTCTTAATAAATATCATTTTAAAAAACAATAAAAAAACAATAGTCGAACGGTCAAGAAGGCAGTTTCTAAACATGCTGTAGAAGGAAGTGAGGGGCAGATGGGGCTTGTCCACCTGGGAAGGGAGCCCATCTAGGAGAAGGACAACTCTGATCCTAAAGCTCTGCTGCCATGTGGGATAACTCTGGGAGAAGAAAAGGCTAAGGAGCAAACCTTCCACAAATTCGGAGAGGAATCCCTAAGATGGTTGGATGGTACCTTGTACCAGGGCTGCCATATGTTTGGGATTTCCCAGTTATGACAACTTTTGTGTCCAGATTTTCACTTTTTGAAATATGGCAACACTATTTGTATGCCTCCTCTTAGCAACTTCTGAAGCTGGTGCCATGCATATTGATCTGCAGCGAGGCCAAGAGGGGGTCTTGTCATTTGGGTAGCCCAGGACCTCCAGACACACGGCCCAGGCTTATGCCCCAGAGGGGTCATTTCAGTGCTGCTAATGCAGTGATTTGACTTCATCCCCGGAGGCACATTCCATTGTCTCTCAAGCAGTGGCGTTGCAGCATTTGCTGGTGCCAGGGGTGCAGAGGGCGAACAGAACTCACTGTGCCAGCCCAGACCTCAGTTCCAACACTGCCAAATAGGAGTGCCCCCATGCCACTGGAGCCAAGCAGGGCTACGCTGCACCACCTGCCCACCTGCGCAGGGAGAAGTCTGGCTGGCCGGCGCAGCCCTTAGTGGGTAAATTCCCTCCCTCCAACACTAGCCAAGCAGCCATTCAGCAAGGGGGCCTCAGATGCAGCAGCAAAGCCAGTCTGGGCTCTGAGCACCAAGGCCCTGGGGCTCAGCAGTGCCTGGTGGCAGGCAGGGCAGGACGGGGATCCCCACATGAGGGTGTCCGGTTCATGCCCCCTCATGCCCCTCTGCCTCCCCCAACACTACACCTCTGCTCTCAAGACAGGCCGATGCCAACAAATACCAAGTTTATCAGCACACCAGAAAAAGGCCACTGTCTGCTAATTGCTACAGCTATTGCTCTGGTGGAAGGCACAACTAGACAATGTACCTATGGCAGGCAGGGAACAGCTTTCAGCAATTTGTAAATGTGGAAAAGCAAGGAGAGGAACTGAGTGATCTGCAGTGGGACAATAGAGGGTACACAAGAGTGTCCCTGTTTTCATCCAGGAAGTGCTGTGGGGAAGAGTGGGCCATGCTCCCTGCTTACTGCCGGCCGTGCCCTCCATCCCCAGCAGGCAGGTTAGTCCTCTGCCTTTCAATATGGCCATTGAAACCACGTCCCAGCCTTTGTGCAAAACTTCCACTAGCTCCTTCAGGGTATCAATAGACATCCTGTCCGGACATGGGAGACCTGCTCACTGCTCTCTCTGAGCCTTGCAGTGAGATGTGTGCCCCAGAATCAGGGTGGGAGAACAGGAGAATGCACAACCCCCACAGAGCAAAACCAAAAACAAAGGATTGCAAAATAGCCAGGCATTTTGGGAGGGAGGGAGCCTTACTGGTGGTTGTGCTACATTTTCCCAAGAGGCTTAATACTTCCACCCTGGAGACTGCACAGTTGCTGCTCCTTTCATTTGTCTAATGCCTCTTTGGCAATCTTCAAGCTGGTGGTCAACTGGCCGTAGCTTAGCAGCAGAGCATCTGCTTTGTGTACAGAAGGTCTCAGGTTCAGTCCCTGGCCCCTGCCACCTGCCAGGCGCACTGGGAATGTCTCCTTTCTGAAACCCTGCCAGTCAGTATAGACCAGGGAGGGGGAGCACATGGCCCTCCATCATGCCTGATCACTGGCCATGCTTTCTGGAGGGCGGTGGGTGGGATGGAATCCAGCAACATCTAGCAGGCCACAGGTGTGATGCAGCAGCAGCAAAAAAAGTGAATGCTACTCTAGGCCAGGAAGCAAGGCTGGATGAAAAAGGTTCCTCACACCTGACCTGTACCTGAAGAGAGGTTTCTAAACTTGCTATTAACTCTTGTTTTTCAGCTTTGTAGTCTGCTTTAAGAAGCAGCTTGCTTGAAAGCTGGCCTAGAAACTGAGCAAATAATATTTACATTAGAGATAAAACCAAGTGACAAAATAACACATGGCATGAAATGAAAAATCCCGGTCCCAATGGCGGTTGCATTGCTGTTGGTGACAAGGACCCCAGCCCAGCGCAAGCGACAAGAGAGAGAAGGGGAAGGAACGACCTCCCTTCCCTCCCTCCCTCTCCCCCTCCCTCCCTCCCTCTCCCTGGTGCTCCTCCTCAGCTGCAAATCCACTGCCACTTGGCCCCCTCTGACACCCCAATCTGATCTCTCCTCCTCCATGCTCAAGTCTCTTGAGGTGTTGCTGATTGCACTTTTGAAAAATGTGTTTCCCCAGCAGTAAAACAGACCGGACCTGCTTGCCAGATTTACAGTTCTGGCCACCACTGGCTGCC